TTATGAATGCCGTCTTTTCACGGTCGCGCTCATCCACCTCAATTTGCCAATATCCGCTCTTGAGATCAAGGGAGGAGAAGTATTTCGCACTCCGTAGTCGATCGAGTGTATCATCGATACGCGGCAGAGGGTATACATCCCGTTTCGTTACGCTGTTCAGTTTCCGATAGTCGACGCAGAATCGAAGGCTGTTATCTTTCTTTTTAACAAGCACTACGGGAGACGCCCATGGACTGCTGGAAGGCTGGATCACGTCATCTGAAAGCATCTCCTCCACTTGTTTCTTGATGACGTCTCTTTCCTTTTGCGATACTCGATATGGGTGTTGGTAAATCGGTCTCGCGGCTTCTTCTGTTATAATCCTGTGTTTTGCAATAGCCGTTCGTCGCACCTTAGAGGACGTTGAAAAGCAGTCCGAAAACTCTTTTATAAGGGCAAACAATCGTTTCTTTTAATATTCTGGGAGCCTATGGTTGACGTTAACTGATGCATCGACGTTGCAGGTCTCTTGTGGAGTGGTTGGCGTTGTCGCTAAACTGCATAGTTCAGTCGCCATGCAGAACTCGTGGAAATAGGCGATAGCCATACCTTGCGCGATGTGCTGACATTCATTCCCAAAATTCGTAAGGAGGACAACTGAGCGGCCATTCGTTAAGTGAACAACACCCCTTGCCACGCAAATTCCTTTGTTTAAAATAGCTCTACGTTTCCATCCGCTATTCCTTCGTGGTCACAAAATGCCTTATTTTCAACAAGCACCATTACACTACAGCGAGGTGGCACTGTGACGTCATCATCAACAACGCGCAGAGCAGTAAGACGTCGCTTTTCCGATTCCTCCACCGACATAGCTTGTTCTGTCGAAAACGTTACACTGGATCTGCGCAGATTAATTATGGCTCCATTGGCTTGCAGAAAATCCATTCCTAGTATAAGCTCCCTTGAACAGTCCGGCAGCACGATGAAGTCAGCAACGTAAGTAAAGCCTCTTATTTCGAGCCTTGAGGTGCATCTGCCGAGCGGTGTAATAGTGTGGCCACCTGCCGTGCGTATCTGTGCCCCACTCCATTTGTTACAAACCTTTTTCAGTTTCTTTGCCAATTTGTGAGTCATTACCGAATAATCAGCGCCGGTGTCAACTAAAGCATTCAGCTCGTATCCGTCTATTTTCAACCGCAAATCTGAAGTAATCTTCGCACTGCTGCGCTTATCCTCTGTAAACATAGCATCGTCACCCTGAAACCGCAATGGAGGATCTTCGCAACTGTCGTTATCAGCGGCCTCACCTCCACAGGTCGCTTGCTTCAGTTTCCTGGTGTGGGCTTGTAGAACGGTGCCCAGACCGTGCGGAAGAAGCACGTGGGCTGGGTGATCGGTAACGCCTGGGCGACGGCGATCTTGGCTGATGTTGGCGTGGAGTGAGTGGGCTCTGGCGCGCGGACAAGTACTCTTCGATTTCGGTTGGCCGTTCACCGTTTCGAGGGCATGGTGCGTACAACGGAAAGCCCCTTAATCCTGCCTGTCGGTAAGGGCAGAACTTATACAGGTGACCTGCTTCCCCACAATGGAAACACAAAGGCCTGCGCTCATGGTCACGCCAGATGTCACTTTTCCGGGGCCTTTGATCCACGTAGCGAGCTACACCACGGGCTCGTGGCAGGTAGGTAGCCGTCGATTCCAGTGGACGAGGTGCGCTGCGTACCGTTTGTGGGCAAGGAGAGGCCATCGTAACTGCTGCATTGGTGTGCGCCGCGGGTTGTCTGAGTACTTCAGAGTACGTTGGGATGCGTTGGATCGGCTGTGGTGCACGCTCCGGCTCACGTATCATCTGCCTCAGTTCATCTCGTACTACGTCGACTACAGACAGTGTTGCTGTAGTGTGAGGCGCTTGCAACTTGCTGAGCTCTTCCCTGATCACCGACCTGATGAGTTCTCGCAGAGCGTCCATGTCACTTCGCTGGCGTCCAGAGAAGACATTGGCAGGTGCATAGTTTATGTCTCGATTGTACTGTCGAGCCCGCTGTTCTAGCGTTTTCTCTATGGCTGTCGCTTCCGTATGAAACTCCGCAACTGTTCGTGGTGGGTTGCGGACGAGAACAGCGAATAGCTCTTGCTTCACCCCACGCATGAGGTGGCGTAGCTTCTTGTCTTCGGTCATATGGGTATCTGTGCGCTTGAACAGGCGGATCATGTCCTCGATATACATTGCGACACTTTCGTTGGTGAGTTGGTTCCTGGATTCAAGCGCAGCCTGCGCCTTTTCTTTGCGATCCGCGCTGGCATAAGTCGCCAGAGCTTGTCGCCGAAATTTATCCCAGGTCGTAAAGGAGGTTTCATGGTTTTCATACCACGTCTTTGCGAAGTCCTCCAAAGCAAAGTATACGCGGCGGAGCTTCTCTCTCTCGTCCCAACCGTTCAAACGTGCCACTCTCTCAAAGAGGTTAAGCCAATCTTCTACGTCTTCATACGAGTCGCCATGAAATACTGGTGGCTGGTGAGGCTGATTTATCACCACTTGGGCTGGTGTTTCATGACTTTAATGGTGGCGGCGTCCATTGACTGAGTTCCCCTTGGCGCAAAGTGGAGTGGGCTGAATTCTGGTGAATCACCTCGAAGACGGCGACTGGTCCTCTGATGCACAGGTGTCGGCTCCGCAGTATCAACTGGCTGGTGGTCGGGGCTACGCTGTCTTGCGTTCGTAGGGCTTTGATTCATTACCCAGCACGTCCACCAGAAATGTAACGATGTTGAAGGACTCGGGGTATAACAAAACGTATTTATTAAAGGGCGAACCTGTGCCCACAACTCAAAGGGACTATGGTCGTAGCACGTTACAGCAGAACGGCAAGATGTCTTCCTCTTCTACTTCTTCAAGAAGAGTCCCAAGCGCGTGGCACACATCAGCAGGGGCCAGCTGGTTTCTCGTGCTATCATCATCGTCTCTGCGCAACACTAGACGGCGCCCATGTATGTCTCTGTGCGCGTGGTGATGGGCGCGTTATTTGAATGCAGTCACTATGTCGTGGCAATATGTTTACCCGGGTATTTAGTTTTTGCTTTAATACAACACGTGAAGAGGTTGTTCCTCAATGAAACATTATTTTAAATCAATTTCTGCTGTGGGAACGGAGTTGAACTGCACTGCTACCTCCTGGCAACGCCACTGTGAGCCGGTAAGCAACTTCAGTCCAACCATGAGCCGTTCAACTCAGCCGTTTCAGTTAATTTAGGTGATCTGAGCCGTTCAAAGCCACTTATTCTATCTCTAACTGTAACAGAACGAGTGCTCAGAAACGTCACATTGCAAGCCAAAAACCGGAGCACCACAAGCAGCTTGATACTGTACGCAGTGGCTTCATTTTCTGAAACTTGTTCCGAGCCTACCACTATTTTCACAGTTTCTTAATTTTCCATGTCTGTTTTGAAACAGTACCGCATATTTTAAAGTCCCCCCTCAGCCCCTATTCCCCCCAAAAAAAGTCGCTAAGTCTCCAAAGAGATCTAAATGTTGCTAGCACGACTGAAAAAACTCTAAGTTTAGCAACTTTCTCGCTAAGTTCACACCACTGCTCTCACCTTCGTATTGCTGTTGTGTTCGCGGCAGACGGAATAAACGGTGTTATGAGACGGATATAACTTGAATGTTGGATTCAAATAATGACTCATTCGAAGTGATAGCGTGGGGCTTGCCAGTAAGAGCTCTCAAAATAAGCAGGAGCGGCACGTTTATTCGACAGCACCTCGCTATGCTCCGTTTCATATATCGGGCGCAACGCTGCGGAGGCTGTGATGTTCGGTGAGCAAGATGTGCGCGTGTGCTCGTATCCCGCTTGAGTGGGGTCATTTTGAACGTCTGACATTGATACGGAGCATCTTCGCTTATTTTTCATTCTGGACGAAAACAGAATTACAGTACGGCTGCTAAGAGCATTGGACTACAGCCTCCACTGCGCTGCTACCGATGTATGAAAGGGAGTATGGGCCATATCATGTAGTCACCAAAGAACAGGTGACGCAGTAGCCAGCCCTTCGTGTTGCATAGGGCAGCTCAGTTATGCCGGTCTGTCAGCAAAGAAAGCACAGTTGCCTACCAAATGCACAATGTATCACACGTAGAGAGCTTTAATGTACAAATAGCTTCACATGGTTGATGGAACCTAGATTTATTCTCAGCGTTTCCTGTGCAGTTTAAGTGATGGAGAGAATAAGGTAGCAAGCCATAAATACCCAACCGTTCTGATCAGGCAGACAGATATTATGTGTCTAGTAACCTGACGCTAGCTAATGGCCGGTGTCACATGTCACTCACATACCGTATGAGACATCGGTGTATCAGTCAGCGTTTGAAGGTTCAAGTACACCCGATTTTCAAACTGATCAATTACCTGGTTGAGTTACGCACATATTCAAACAATAGTAAGTGTAATGCTTGTAAGCAGAACGCTCGTGCCAGAAGCCATAAAGAGGACGACGACATTACGACGCCCTCTCACAACTGAATGAAGCAAGGGTGTAAGTTTGCAATACTTTGATTTGTCATTGTTACGCCAAACTTGCCACGTACAAATGTTGAACAACTAAGCGCTTCCACATGCTAGTCTCGCGTGCACTCCGGAATCATTAAAGCTCTGGGGCTGCGCCAACGTATTAAGAAGTCCTTATCATGAAGCTGCAGCTGTTATAGCCCCGAAAAACAGTGTATTATCCGATAAAACACATGTTGCCAGGTTGTTTGCTACAGAATGGTAACCTCGTAATAACACAGCTTGCTTCACTTAAGTTATCGCAAAGCTATGACACAGTTGTAACCCTTTTCAATATTTCGCGCTTACTGACGGCGATGCAGAGCTCTTCCGCTATAATCTGCTTCTCCACGGTGCTAATAAGTGTGCGAACTGTACATCTGGCCTTGTTGAACGGTAGCCTATGAAAGAGAGTATTTTAGTTTGTTTCATGCTTCAAATACTTCTTCCTTATAATATTGACATTTCTAACCGCAGGGTTTTTTCGGGACAATTACGGCAGCTACAATGGCGTGTTTCGCTTCTACGGTGGCATGCTTATCATGTCCTTCTTGTTCTCTCTGGGCCTTTGGATCACCAACCGCCCCAAGGAGCGAAGAGCTGCCAACGCCACCCAGGGCCCTTACGTATCTACTCCCCAGCCGACGAAAGTGGTCAAGGAGGAGCACACGTACATATGAAAAGTAATGGGCAGAGAAATGAATTCTCGTATCGTCACGAGGAACAGCAAAATGCAAGTGACGCAATACAATACGATTGTGTGGCTGTTCGTAGCCGCACAATATTATGTTACCGTGCGCGGCAACACATTGCGTGATCCAGCATCCACTGCCAATATATATTTAAGAATGGTGTACTGTACACGCGAAGAACAAACCAGAAAGTGACCATTCTACGCAGTAGATGATGCAGATTCTACTGAGGAACTGTGAAACGCCAGTTCTGGGCAACGTCCGCTGAGTGGAGTTTACGAAAGGTAATCAGGCGCCAGCTTTACTGCGACAAATCGCGAAGGCACCCGCAATGGCTTTATTGGTAGTAAATTCTTGTTATTGCGATAACCTTGTTTCAGTACTTAGGCGTAGGATGAACTTAACTCTAGATGGTTGATCTATGACCACAGAGCTTACCAGGAGGCTGACAGATTGCAGCATGAAAGGTGTTGCATTTATAATGGACATGGCAAAGGAGTTCACCGAAAGTCTTGCAAAGGGCGGAAGAAATTACGCAGCTGTGTATCGTATACATTAAGTTTCATCTCTAAAGTACAAGCAATTTGTATACTCTTGCCTAAAAACGGGCCCTGTTTCTGCCAAACGAGAAAAAAAAATAAATTCAGACGGTGCTCAAGCGCGTCGCTAGCAGCGCTCGCTGCTTCCAGACGATTAGCAGACGACAGGGCGCGGAACAATACAATTACATGTTCTCACTCTCTTGATTCGTCTAGATGGACTACAACTGCTAAAGCGTTGCACAGAACTCATGAAACACAGGATAGGACTGATACTTTTATTTCGGTTTTCGCTTCCCACCTTCAGCGTCCATAAACTTCCTTCTCAAGTGCCACTTGTTGCCAATAAAGATCGTTTCATGTTCAATAAAAGTCGAGCGTTATATCGTATTTTTGTATCCTTTTCTAATTGTGTTATGTTGTACCGAATATCCATTTCCGCCTACGAAATGCGTTGGCTGGTGTAGGTGATGAATAAATGATTCAAAAATACCTTATGTAATATTAAAAATCAGCTCGAGTTCAAAACGAGTAAGGCATGTTCGCTGCTGCCTACTCGCTTCTATGCATGAAATCGACTCCCGCGTTGCATGGAACCTGCCGTAATTTTGTATTTCAGAATCGTGTTACTGTTATTTATAGCACAACAATTCCCATCAAAGGTTTATCTTTACGTAAAAATTGTGCTGCAACTTGGGCATACGAAGCAAGGAAGGCATTTACAATGTTGAAGAACTATTTTTACAAAGCCTACACTAATAATGTTCTACTTTCCGAGGCTCTCGCAATATTTTCTAGAAACGTTGTGCCACAACCGAATACAGGCTTCTCGTGCCAGTTGCATCTATATACCATCATGGCGCTAGCGAAAGTTCTGACGTCAGACGAGGCTAACCCCAGCCGTTTAGTTAATACCACCCGGGAAATTTGATCTTTTATGTTCTCTATAGCAAATTGAAAAAGTTAACTTTGTGAGTCATCAAGATATGTCACAGACAATTAATCAATAAAATTATCAAGTGATGTGCCTACCGATTGATAGACTAAACACGCCTATCTCGCACCGAGGCGCCTTCGGTGATATACTCTCACTCCCAGACACCAAAATTTCTTTCGAACTGCCGAGGCATGCCTCACTAACATAACAAACAGTGGCTCTTGAACTTTAATATTGAAAAAAGGGCCCGTGCGAGCTGCGCCCGCTGATCAGAACTCATCTGAGTACCACTCCATCATTTTCGGATGCGAGAACAACCAGCTCAAAAGGAAGAGATTGTTGAGCACTGCCTGTGAAGTTCACAGCGCATTGCCTAAATTGTGCCGGCTGCGTTGTTTTCACCTTTCACCGATTCCCATTCTCGACAAAAAGCTCTTAACTTCTTCGCCAACTGGATAAATGTCGTCAACAGGACAGGCGTGATTGATATGTGCGGTTTTGCTTTCCTAAATCACCATATGATTATGAGAGATGACGTAGTAGAGGGCCCCGGAAATTTCGATTACAGGGGGTTCTTTCACGTGCACCCAAATTTGAGCACACGGGCCTACAGTAGTTTCGCCTCCATGTAAATTGCAACCGCCGCAGCCGGGACACGATCCCGTGACATGAACAGTAAGTACATATGCACGAATACGTACACTTACTGCGTGTATTCAAGCATAGCGCCAACTACCGCGCTTACAAGAAGTCGTCTTGGCGCCACTGTGCCGTTCTCGCATACGAAAACAGCCAGGGCAGGAGTAAGGCTTGCTCAGCACTCTCTGTGAAAATCAAAACACGAAGCGGCATTCATGTCGGTGCGAGGTTTTCTGATTGCACAGATTTCCTTCCGCAACAAAAAGCGCCGAGCTCTGCCACCAGTCCTATATAATCGCGATCAGCACGAAACACTACGAGCCCGGTACATGTGTACGAGTAAGTATATTTATTGTGTATATTCAAGTATAACGCAAGCGGTTTCGCCTTACAGCAGCGATTTGCATACAGTATGGGTTCAGTAGGCGGTACCAGATAATTGCCGTACTCTTTGGCAGGCCGCATGCCAATCATAGGACATATTACGACTCATGTGTGGATGGACGCGCCGTGCACGTTTAGTACAATTGTAACAGCGTATCATCGCAATTCAAAGAAACGCGAACGGTGCGGAAAGCATGGCTTTCGACTCTGTCAAAGAATTACGTGCCTGGACTCTCACTAGGCTAATCTGTGATTTCGGCTGGCGTCACCGTAGCATTCTGAAATCCTGTTCTGGCTGGCACTTTCGCACCACGTGTCTTTTCTGATACCCGGGAGGAAGAATAATTGATAAAACACATTCGGTGCATGAACTCAAGTTGTAGCGAGATTTAGCGCTACTTTGACCCAGCTTACAGTAAAAATTCCGCCTTGCCTCAGTCAAAACACACCGTAGTTCGATTGAATCGAAAGCAACGCCTTCCGCTGTTCGCGTTGCTTTCAAGTCGTGACTGTACGTACCAGACGCGATTACTTCGCAGTCTTGAATGCACGTGCTGTGGACATTTCGGGACTGTCGAGAAAGGTCTCCTCATCGTTGTGCTTGAAATCAGCACAAACTTGCACAAGAAAGAGGAATAGTGCGAAACATTCTTACAACTGTACTCGGGTTGTACGGAGAGCGAATGAACTTTATGGGACAGTACATGGTTTTATTTTGGTTGGTGACCTCTTGTAAAAGCCCACTGGCCACGGCGGCTTGCCGGGACTGGTCTATGGTCACCAGTTGGCTTCGCAGTGCCCGCTCGGAACGCCGTGCCTCTCAAGACCACGTTGTGAGTGTTTCGCGTGAGTGAAAAATCGTAGTACTGCATGGGCTGGTCGCTTTGCACATTGGTAAGTGATGTGTTGAAGTGTGACTGTGTGGATGTTACACCAGGGTCATATCCATGTTGTGTGTAGCTCAGGAAAAATCACGCGTAGTCTTGATATGTGTAAGTATGTGTTCCTTTGAAGGCAGCGCCAGACCCTGGTGTAAGGAAAGGACTTAAATACGCCGAGGAACGTCAAACCAGAACTGAAGAAGACGAACGGCAGGTGGCACGAAGGCGACAACAAGAAATGAAGAAGAAGAGAAGAAGGCACGTGTTATTACGAGGCAACTGTGTGCCAATCATCTGATGACCAGTGGTGGCCCATAGAGGTGGCGTGCCACGATTGGGCCACGTGCGACCATTACGTGGCAGTAGGCTGTGTGGCTGGGGACGAGCCGGAGCAGCGGCAGACGGGAGACAGCGGGCCGAAGCGTCGGACGCAGGCGATCCAGGTTCCGGCCAGGGAACGCGGCTGTCCATGCTACTGTCGTCCAACTACCAGCTGGGGCGGCATTGCCGGCAGGAGTACTGCATCTCGGGGCGCGGCCTGGCCTGCTGTTGTCTTCCTTGCCGAGGGCATCGCGGATCTCGGCGAGGCGTCTCCATGGTCAGCCGTTCGACACAGCGATGAACGTGGCCTGGCCTATGGTCACGGTTGCGTCGAGCATCGCGTCTCGGCGCACGCTCTTCGCTGGACGGGCTGGCCATTCTCCGCATGGAGCATCGCGTCTCCGATGCGGGTTGACTGCTCAGTAGTCGCACCCATGCCATCAAGCGCCGGTGTCACCAGAGCGTCGCACTTCGGCAAGGGACGAGCGAGATTTTCTGCCGGGCGAGACGCGGGCGTGTGTACGGAGGACCATAGAGCCGGGCGAGGATTCAGGGTGGCCGAGGATTCAGATGCCAGGGGAGTTGCTGGCTGAATCTAGGATCGCCGAGCGGTGCCGAGCGACGCGCCAGCCTCGGAAGTGGGCCTCGAGCTCACGAGCTGTGCACCCGAGGGTACCTGGCTGTGCCCTGGCCAAGGATGGGAACGCCGGTGGGTGAGCTGCCGCTCCGAAGCTGTAGCGAGCAGCATTTCAGCACGGCACAGACGGTGCTGTGCTGGCCAGAACCCGCACGTGGAACCGCTACGCCCGGGCGGTGATCAAGAGCTTGGAAACGAGGTCCGAAGTCGCGCTGGTCCAGGCATCTCCGCCACGGCAGCTGGAGGGTTGAGGCCAGGAAGGCAGAGGAAGCGGTGCACCGCTCGAGAGGACGAGTTCCTGGCAGCGTTCCTGAGCCGGACGTGGGACCCGTACGTGTCGGCCAGGTCGAGCTCCGGTGTGTCGGTTCGAGGTCGAGTCCGTCGGCCTTTACAAGGTCCAAGGACGGGGCCTGCCTAACGGCTCCTGCCTGGATGCAGTGGCCGCAAGCAGGTTCGTGGGCGAGCCGTGGCCTGATCCTGGACCTCGGGAGTTGTGACCCAGGCTGCTGGGTTGGTCGTGACGTCCGATTCAACGGCGCAGTACACGGTAGCGCATCCGTGTGCGGTCAGCCGTTCCAGCCGTGCCACCTTTGCCCTCGCGCACGTCAACGACCGCATCATGTCGGGACGACGGGGACCCAAACTGCGACATTCCCATTCCTGGACCAGCAAGTGCACAACACCGAGAAGAACAAGGTGTGCCTGTACAAGTAGGTGTTTCCGCCGCACCTGCCGCACCCGACGCTGGCCTTCATCGGGCTGCTGCAGCTTCTTGGGGGCGTGTTCCCCGCGCAGGAGGCGCAGAGCCATTGGTTCGCGCATCTAATCAACAAGAAAGTGTCACTTCCTTCTCTAGTGTGCAATATAAAGCTTCTTTTGGTCGCATCACACGTTGATGTCAATCCTTTTTCGTCTGCTGTTAGCAAACATAGTGACAAACGTTCCGTAACCATCACACCTGGCTTGTTGGCTGCTCAGGATGGCATGCGCTGGCGCGTATTTCCGTCCTTTAAGGCGTTGCTTTTCCAAAATCGGCCTACTTGTTATGTTGTGTTTCTCATGGGGGCTCGAGAGGTGCCCTGAGGCCCTGCGTCTCGGCCAGTAAGCGGGTTGTAAGTTTCGCGTTTGATGTGCGGAGCGTCTGCTCACGTGACATTGCATAGTGTTGCTTCACTGCACTTGCAACAGATGGCGCGACAAACTTTTCGATATGGCAGCATGCACTGAGCTTGCATTGTTCAAGTGTATACTGACAGCTCACTATACCAGAAAACCTCAGCTCCGGTGATTGTCGACATCAGTTATTTCGCGTAATGCACGATGCTTCTGGCAATGCTTCATAACACATGTCAATGTTCTATGTGCATCCTTCTGGTCCTTCCGCGCCTGTTCCAAATGTTTCGAGAACCATTATATTGCCACGTTCCATTTCCCAAGTTTTTGTTATCGTCCGAAAACACCGCACGATTCTCAGCGCAAACCGCGCCTGCAGTTTTCTAGAAGGTTCCGGACTGTAGTAGATCGTTTCGATAAGATCACGCCCACTGTGCGAACGGTACAGATTGTTCTGGAAGCTACGCCACCGCCAGCG